CCCCCGCCCCCCTTCCATTTCCCCTGTTCCCGCCAACCCATCCCGCCCATCCCCCCGCCCCCCTCCCCCCCCCCACCACCACCGCCACCACGCGCGCGCACCACCTGACCCACCCACCCAAGCACGCGCACCCCACCCTTACCCTCCCGCCCCACCTTGCGATTTCTTGGAAACCGGACCTTGGATGCAACAAATCCCAAAAGTGAATGGGGAATTGCCTCGGGGCAAGGCTGCTGATTTGGGTGCCCCATGGCTTCTGGCTGCCCGAGGCCAACCAAAACAACACATTCACAACGCAGTGTTCGGCCCCACCCGCCCCCCTCGCCTTCCACCCCCACCGCCGCGCACATGCCCCGCGCGCGCCGATGCCCGCGCTCGGGTCGCCGCGCCGCGAACGGCATTCCTTTTTTTTTTTTGGGGGGGGGGGGCGGGCGCGATGTTGCGGCGTCGCCGCGTGTAGCGGCGCGCTTGGACCGCGCGCAACCCGACGCTGTGCTTTAACCTTTAGAACTGCCGATGGAGGCCGTCGGGGGCGCGGTCGAGCTGCGCGCAGCGAGACCGCGTCTCGCCGCATCAGAAAGGCAATGTGCACGGTTGGGCGCGGTTGGCTTGCGCAGAACAGAATCGCGTCAATGCTGGTCTGCCGAGGGCGCAAGTCCTCGCGATGGGCGGCCAGCTGCCACAGGACATCGGCGTCGGTGTCGCTGTGGCTCGGGGCATTCGCCCAGTTTGCATAGACCGGCGCCGCTCTGTCCCCGCGGAACAAATCAATGGCAGACATGGGCCATGGCCCGCCGCGCAGAACGATATCGCGTCGATGTTGCAAAAGGCGCGGGGCCAATACTTGGGCGCGGGCGCCGCGCGTGAAAAAGGGGGCCGCGCGTAGTTCTAGAGCTGTTGAAGCCGCAGCCTATGGCCACTTGCGGGCCGTTCATGCCGAGGCCGCGGATGGCCGCAAAGCCCCCCCCCCCCGCGCCCCCTTGACCCGCGAGCGGCTGGCGCGTAGGGCGGGGCTTCGCTCTTGCTTCAGGGCCCGCGGCAGCCCGGCGCGCGCTTCTGGAGGCAACGATGGGGCGCCGCGCCGTTGTCTCAAAGCCAGCAATGAGCCCGCTGAGCCCGTTGTCGGCCTGAGTAACGCGATTTTGCTTTGTTCATGTGAAAGTCAGCCCTGCCCCGCGCGCGCCCGAGCCTGCGCGGCC